AGTCTGATTTATGAGTGTCAAGGCGTAATTGATGAAACGCGAATTATTCGATTGAAGCTAGCAAAATGGGCGTTGCATATGCTTGAGCAAAGCTGCCTGAAGCCCACGAGTACATGACTGCACCCAAAGGGCACACACGGCTGGCAGAACCGGTGGGTGGGCGGCTGGGATCAGTCACCCACACACGAGAGCGACTCTTTAATGTCTCTAATGCTGCGTTCGCCTGAGCCGTCGGCAGAACTTAACCGGGCCGACTGGTCGGCCGCTGTCGATGCCTCATTGGATGATGGGCTCGACTGGGTCACGTGAATGCTCCACCCGAAAATTAAAAGTCCTAATGCACCGACGCCGGCGCCACCGCCAGAAACCGCGCCAGCCAGCAGCCGAGGCACGAGGTTTGGGCCAGCACACGTCACGTATCGAACATTTTGCGTACTTTTCACGTGGCAAGAGCAGAAGGCGGAGTTGCGATGAATGCGCGTCAACATGACTTAGTCATCACAGCCAAAGTGTGCTCCACCGGTCCAAAATGTCGTACAGACCAGATCTTCAGCTGACCCTGCCGGCTGCCCAAGTCTGACCCTCTCCCGCCACCGGAAACAATCGTCAACCGATGGCCCGCGAGCAGACTCCTGCTGGGGCGCCGCTGGTCGTCACCGGTGGCCCACCAGCCGACCCTGCTGGGCGCCCTGGTCGTCACCGGTGGCCCACCAGCAGACCCTGCTGGGGCGCCGCTGGTCGTCACCGATGGCCCACCACAAACCCTCTGGGGCGGCCCGCTGGTCGTCACCGGTGGCCCACCACAGGCCCTGCTGGGGGTGCCGCTGGTCGTCACCGGTGGCCACACCAACAGACCCTGCTGGGGCGCCCGCTGGTCGTCACCGGCGGCCCACCAGCAGACCGCGCCAGGGCGCCGCTGCGATTTACGAGCCCAGGGCCGCCCTATCGCCGCTGTGTGTGCGCTAGGCTTTGGCGCGAGGCCCGGCTGGTCTGTAAACGCCAGACGGTCTCCACCCGCCAGCGGCTGCCCGCCGCTAGCGAGCGTCGGGCAGCCGGCAGCGGGCGGCGGGCAGTGGGCGGCGGGCAGCAGGGCGGCACGTGCGCCGTCACGCCGTGCGAGTCAAAGGGCCGACGCTCCTGAAGCCCGGGCCGGAATGGCGGCGGCCCGGGGTTGCATGGTGACTGACTCAGCACCTGCTCAGCTGTACGGCGCCTGTCCGGCGGTGGCTTTGGCCGCCGCGTGGGCCGTCGGCTGGCCGGCACGCAGAGCTACAAACCGTCGGCCCGGACCGCCCGGCGCCACCAGCTGCGCGCCGCGTGCCGCTCCGTGGCAATGGCGACACGCTCTGAACATGGCGACCGTTCTGATGCAGTGGCTACGACAGCACGCGTGGCTCAGCTTGTGCGGCACGCGGAGGACAGTGACAATCGCCGCGCTGAGGGCGGGCTATGCTTGCTCGCGGTCACGTTTCGCCCATTCAATTGGATGTTTATGTGGTCATGGAATGTCGCCTTTGTCGTAGACTCCGATGCAATTTATAATTTGAAGCCAACTTGGTTCCGGTGATTCGGGTAGCACCTGTGTGTATGCCGGTTGTCATGGCGACGCGAGTTCAAACATTTGGCCAGCCGACCATGCGTCATTGGGGCTCATTCATTACGCTATTTACAACATTGTGCCATTACGGAGGGAGCAATTTCCAAACAGTTACCTCCTATGATAACGAACTGGCGTTTTGCATCGTGCGGGCGGCGCGGACCAGCGTCTCATGTGCCCCACCAGGAGGGCGCCGGCGGCGGCGGGGCGCGGGGGGCGGCGACGCTAGCGCCGCCGGCGGCCGGTCGGCGAAGCGCCGTATTGATCGCACGGCCGCCGCCCGGAGCAGGGGAGGGCGCGCGGCCGGCAGGGAAGATAAACTCGCGGCCAGCCGGGCCCGGCCCGCACTTGGGCAGACCGCATGCGGCCGTTGACTCGCGCGCGCCGTCGGCCACCTGAGCACACGCAGCGAGGGGCCGCACGCGGGGCAGGCGCTGCCCAGCACGGCGCACGCACTGCTGCCCGACGTCGCACGCACGGCTCGCGCGACCCCTCGCGGCCGGCCGGTGTCGGCGGCGGGGCGCCGGCTCCACTGCACGTAGAGCTGCGAAGCAGGCTTAGACAAGGAAGCAAAATACTTAAATGCATTGCCTGGCTGCCATACTGTGGGCACGAGGCTCGACGTTTACGTGAAAATGGCTTTCGCCAAATTATTTGTATGTTTACACCTGCGAATAACAGATAATCGGAACGAAGCAGTTGTACCACGCGACCATCAAGAACATGTGAGACCAGTTAAAAGCACATCAAAAAGTGAAATAAGGATGTTATCTGCCGATAATACAAAAGGCTTGGTGGCCGCGAAATGCCCAAAAACGAGCAGTGCGATGAAATGTACGAGGAGGGGAACGTAGCAGCCTCACGGCAGCAAAAACGGAGACGTGACGCTGACAGCGGTGGAAATTACGAAAACCCTAGAGTTCCTCAAACAGCCAAAGTGAATCTGGGTCCAAGCGACCAGAACGTACGTGGAGGAAGGCCATATGCTGTTCAAAAACTAGTACATTTGCACTTCTGGAATACATTTGGTGTCAATTTTCGCTGATCATTCATCACTATGATATTGTCAGATAATCACAAGAGGATAATCATTTTATTGCGTCCTGCAAGATTTGATATTCTTTTAAACGCAGTATGAGAGTGCACATAGTGAGCCCATCCCCGCGAGCTCCGGAGGCACCATGTGCCCGCCAGTGGCCGCGGCGCAAGCAGTCGCGCCGCTGCTGCTGCCACCTATATAATGGCGGGGCTTGACTAGCGCGCCACCTCCGAGAACACGAGAAGTGGCGATTGAGGAGGTAATGCGCAAGGCCTGTGTGACAGGACACGGTGGCCAGTGGGCCACTGTAGCTGCCACAACTTCACATTACCGGCCAAGGAATGAGTTTACGTTGTGGGCAGAAGGCCGGTGCTCTTTTTCACGACCATACCCGTGCCTCAACTCATACTTCGGCGGACGACGCCCGCACTTAGTAGCAGTCGAAGCGCTGACACCGCACTTACTGCGAAACAGCCCGGCAAGACTCTCGAGACATCTGTTAAGGCTTCTGTCCATGATCTTCAATGGTTGCCTGTGCGTCAAAAGCCATCTGCGTTGCCATCTTCTCAACGGGTTGCCTGTGCGTCAAAATCTGGTCGACCTTGATGTACGGCGGTACACCCTCCTGCGAATCATGCCTGACCTTAGCTGATGACTGATCACGACTCTCTCCCTGCCTGTGTGGACTCAACTTTACCTTCCGTCCGGCCATACGGAGAACGACTCTACAGACGAACGCGCGATGTCGTGCCGCATTGTTTAGTTAGGCAGGTCTGCTACTGCACCGTGGAAACGAGTTCCGCTGAAGTCACATGGTTGTGGCGGCATATCTGTCGGTAACCTCACAGGCTTAGACTAGACCAACACGCGACGCATACGCAACTACGCTTAATCTGCGATAGCCGCCGACAGCCGTCTCGGATAAGGGCACTACCACACACGACCGCATTAGTTCGCCTTCAGCGCCTCCCTCAGCTCGTTCACGCCTGCGTTCGGTACGCAAGACTCGGTGTCAGTCCGCCTGTCCTGGGGTGTCGGCGTGATTATTTCATTATCAACGGACGGGAGTCAAAGTCATCCGGTACATGTCAGTTGGCTTCCGTAAAATCTGGACGAATGTGCGTGGTCGACCGCGACCGACAGCAGCCGGCTGCCAACAGAACATACCTTGCCTTAGATCGAGGCGGGACAATTACAAGATGGCGTGATATTGTGATGTTGAACCTAGTCTTCTCCAGCATGTGGGGTTGGAATGCTCTACTTGCATCTGAACTCGCCGCCGCGGTAGCTTCAAAAGCGCCCCGGCTGACCAACAAGCGCTGCCTGGCCGTGGAGGGCGGCGCTGGACCGCGACACGTTGCCCACACCGCCCGTCCTCAGGTACACTTTATTCTACATCTCCGGTGCCACTCTGCTACGAAACCGGCTACAAAGGCGCCGCGTCGACTACGTAGGATCGTGTCCCGTACACAAAACAGTGGGCGACCGCGGGTGCGGCCGTCCCAGGGCCGTCCGTCGCTTCCCATCAGCGGCGCGTCCGCAGCCAGCCCACACAGCCATACTCACTCACGCACGCCAGGGACGGGACAGGGTGAGGAAGGGAGGACTCACGCGGACGCGGCGGCGGCCGGCGCACCCCTGGCGCGCGCCCGCGCCGCGCCCGGGGCTATGAAAGACTCTCGCTCGTGCCGCCGCTGGCCACCAGTGCGTGCGGGGTGGCCGCACAGGGATTTCCTGCACTCGCACGTGCCAGCTCGCAGGCCGACACGCACTCCCGGCGTCAATCAAAACCAGCGACCCCAGCCTACAGCTCCAGGGAAATATCATGAACCGATAAAAGGAGTCGAGTATAAATAAATAAAACTCTATGCCACTGCCCACAGTACAGTGATGTCCGTTCCATACGTTGCGACTAGTCGAAGCCATAATACAGCCGTTGGCTTCTTCCTCCAGCATAAACCACTCCGAGATGCCACATCATGCCACACCACTCTATCACGAACACGATAAAGCAATGAGAATAACCGTGCGGGAGATCTGTCCACATTAACAGCGCTGAGTTAGGATATATATATATAGCTAACAGACACAAAATAAAACGACGGCCGCTACGAAGCATTCGAGAGGTGCAAAAACTGAAGAAAGACCACAAATCCTCAGCCTGGGAGCGCCCGCGAGTGACGTTCCAATTACGCTCCACCCAACGGGAGCTCGAGCTAGCCCGTTTCAGCCATTTCGAGCCCCCCGTCAGCTCCAGCCCGCTGCCATCGACACCGCACCACGGCCCACCCTGCTGCGCCGGCTGCGAGGCACACCACGCTGTCACACAGCGCCCGGCGGCGGTCGCCCGCTTACATCCGCCGCGGCTGCCGTCAGGGAGTCAGGCCGGGGCGCCACGACACCCGCCGCGCCCGCTCACATCCGCCGCGGCTGCCGTCAGGGAGTCAGGCCGGGACGCCACGACACCCGCCGCGCCCGCTCACATCCGCCGCGGCTGCCGTCAGGGAGTCAGGCCGGGACGCCACGACACCCGCCGCGCCCGCTCACATCCGACGCGCACGCCGCGCCTCAATGCCCCGTCACGAGCGTCCGCCGGCCTCAGACCGATGGCGCGGCGCAGGGCCCAGGCCGACACCTCCGGCGGCGGCGCCCAAGTCCCGCGGGCCGCGCTCGCAGGCGACCCCGCGTCCCCCGCCGGGCCGCACGAGCGCGCGTACCACCCGGCCCCGGCGCGGCCGACGCTCGCCTAGCTGGTCTCGTAGCTGGTGAGCAGGGCGGCGTCGACGGGCTCCATGCAGCTGGGGCAGATGAAGCTACGCATCAGCCAGTCGTCGATGCACTCTGTGTGGTAAGTGTGCAGGCAGGGCAGGTAGCGCACCCGCTCGCCCACCGAGAACTCGATCATGCAGATGACGCACCTGTCGCCGGGCAGAGGAGCGGATCAGCGCCGGACGGAGGCGAGCCCAGGCCGGCCGGCCAGACACCAAGCACGGCGCGCCCGAGATACATGTTACAGTGCATTTCAGGAGGAAGTGAGCGAATTGTACCACCGCGTGAATAACCGGCGACGTATCGCTGATTGCGACTACAGCTATCCCACGTGCAATCACTGTTTTCAGGACAGATACAATGCACATGAGCACATGCATGCCCACGCGCATTTAAAAAAAACAGGAACGGCTCGCCACAAACTCCCCCCGCCGGGAAGTGCCACCTCGAGGTGACAGGAGAGTACCGCGTGCGACCGACACCGCGGCCACTCACTCCTTGTTTTTCCGCGCGGCTCCGTCGTACGTGCCCGACGGCAGGTGCTGGATCAGGCCCATCCGCTTGGCGATCTTGACCTGCTCCTCCTCGGTCAGCTGGGCGGCTGTCCGCACCACGTTCGGCGACGGGTAAAACACGGTGGCACGGTCCTGCAGAACGGAGCCGGACACCGGTCGGGGCACTGATCACGGCAGGGGTCAGGGTACAGGTCAGGGTTCAGGTCGCTGCACCATTCACAATTGTCACAATACAGACCGGGACATCCTTGAACAATGAAGGTGACAAAAGTTGGAAGAAAATATGCTGACACGAAACACATGTGGGCAGACAGCACAGGCTGGTGATGATATAGGACCCTGAAACCTGGTCAAATGGATGAATGGTGTATTATGCATGTGCTTACAGTTATCCCACTATGAGAAAGTGAGACATTTTGTGATGCTGGACTAGTATGTTGGTGGCAGTTCTTTTATCATCATGAAGTTTGTATCAAAATGAAAACCATTAAACCAGGTAAGTTTCCAACCAGCAGCCATAAAAAATGCCTGCCATAAATCTTAATCTTGTATTGCAATGCTCCAGCTTGACATTTATCTGGCGCAGTAACAACTTGCATGAAACAATGCCTAGCACTCAGTCACATGAGGGGCAATTTGCACCTGGTCCTGACCAAAGGTCAGAACTGTTGCTTTAGAGCTTGAAGCTGATGGGTATGAGGAAGGAATGAGAGCACCAAACCAAACTGTAAAAATATGCACACTTTAAACTGAACATATATGGTGAAGCAGCATCCAAGTAATCATTTGTGTGCATAGCATATCCATATCATAAATCTAAGTGTGCAGCCAAGTTTGGTGTTGTCAAATCAATTTTAGCAGTCAAGAGCCAATTCCTTATGGAATCACACATTCCATACTAAAATACTCAGAACAAGAAATATTTCTGGATCATTTGAAAACCCAGCACACCCTGACCTGACACACACCTGGCACACCTGAGCAATGTGTTCACTGCACTTAAGTATGGACATCCAGCACAGTGGACAGATTTTTGGCAGACTGCCTTACAGACATAAGTATATGTTGTATACAAGGCTTTGTTTAAAAACTTCCCAAAATACTTATCATTCCCTCAAGCTCTGAACAAGAATAACAAAATACATCAAGCAAAAACAGTCAGTAGCACCAAATGTGCTAAACAAAAAACAAAATATCACCATAATGTTGTCCCAAGGCCAGACTGTGAGGATACAAGGTACTCTGAAAATATCCAGCACAGCACAAAGCAAAATCCCAATGACAATTTCAGGAGATAGGAATTGGAAATCTGTAGGTTGTAAACTGGAAAGCTCCCTGTTACATGTATGTTCCATACTTATTTCAGTGCACAGGGCCAATGTTTCATGAAAACATAAGTTTACAAAGATCACTTTAGGCAAAGCTACTGAACAGACAATTCTAACAAAACAGGAATGAAAATGTAATGTACACTGACCACACCCGAGCCAGGCATGTGCAAAAGTGAGGCTTGATGCACCACGGTTATGTAGTTGCCAGGCACAACAGATGGATTTGTCAGAATCCACCACACCTGGTGCTTCCTGTTTTATACATTTGCATTTTCCAATGTGTGTTCATGTCTTCAAAAAAGCAAATTGTTCAGAAATGGTGCATAGATGTATTGACCAGGTGACTGATTGCTAATAACCTCATAAGCAATGAAGACTATCAATTGCAATGAAATCAGGTGGGGCTATAGCCATGCTTAACAATTTTAAGTGGTATGAGTACAAAGACTAGAACTTCCCCAATCTGACTTTTGGAAAAGGGGTTTATAGAGCCCCCCACTACAAACAAAAAGAGCATACCACGCTTGTGTTGCTTACGCACCACTGAATTTACCTCAGGTGCATATGAGGGAGGAATCCCAAGTTGATCAGAAGATGCTGACAGCCTTCCCACATCCGCACCAGGAAGCAGTGACATGTCATCAGCTGCTTGAGCCTTTAAGCAGTTCCCCATTGTCTTTGTCTTACGCGATCCGCATCAAGTCACAACTCCACAACAAGCACGCAGTTCATCCAACACGACTAGGATACGGGCAGTTATCTCCCTTTCCCAGGTATTACGACTATTGATGGGTTTCACGCCACAGCAGGGTGGCCCCACGATGATACAAGTACCCCATGAGTCACAGAACGTCCACCCGCACACCGCGACTAGCTTTGTGTTGTGGTCGCGCCGCGCCGTAATGGTCTGTTTTCATGTTCATGAAAACAGCTGATGAACTACGCACACAAGTAGTACAAAACAAGAAACTTCTTTTTTCGGTGAGAAAAAAGTCAATTTGCTAGCAAATGGGTGAAGAAGTTTAAAAAGTATAATCTAGGTGCTCCATTGCTTAAAATTTTCCATATTTTTGGGAAAATTGAAATGTCGCGTATGAACATTTTGCGACAAGGTTGTTGCCAAACACAAGCGGAAATTATTTCAAGGTCAATGGTTTAGGGGCGAGAGAGAGGGAGGGAGAGGGATGGAGGACTAACCCACGAATATGTCTTATCATTTCTCATTATCGGCCTTCGTTTCGTTCTTCTGAGCTACATGTGCAGCGAATGGCATAACTTTATCGATGTCCAAAAAAGCGACCAAAGTTAGAGGTTCTTGAAATTTGTTAGATTCTTGTCATTTTCGGTCACGTGAAAACGGTGGGTAAAGGAAGTTTTACCTCGCTGGTTTGGCGGCCTGATCGTCATTTTTCGCCATTTCTTTTCAGTCATCGCGTACGAGACCAACGTAAAGTTTTCGGAAAATGATTGGGTCAGCATCCCATCCTGGGTTCCTGCGTTGCTGACGATAACTACCAGGATCGGCTCACTACTCGCCTTCCCAGTTCAAAGAACTTCATAACTTTCCGGGTAAGACCGCAGACGCCTAATCAACCTTAGCGGAAATCCACCGAAAAGTGAAGGGAGAAGATGTTTTTCGCACGGTGAAGACCCATTCACCAAGACGCAGTCCAGCGATCCCGTCGCGCGCTCACCTTCCACGCAGTTGCTTGAGTGTTGTCGCAGTTATGGTACGAACGGTGGTCGCACCGATGCGCTGGGAGCCGTATGCTTGTTCGCCTTCACACCACACCCGTTTCTCTCCACTTCACGTTTCTCGAAAAGTTTAGGGCGTCGAAATTGCCGATCAGTCATCAACCGCATGTATTGCACCAACATATGCGTGATCTAAAATAGTTTCGGACCAGCATACACAGTCATGTGCACGCAAAATCGTGAACTCTTGGCCGCTAGCACAACAACTCAGACCACAAAACATACCAATGACTGGACGCGTCTGTCTTCACAACCACCTCAATACAAAAGTGCATGGACCAAAACCAGATGGTAATGTCTATGATTCAAGTACATCTGCAAGGCCGGCTTGAGCTGGTTAGTGCTGTTTATACTGACTAGCAATAACACAGTAAGCATTCTACTTGCAGTGGTTCAAAACGCAGTGAAGCGGCCTAGTCGAATGGAGCAAGCCACGTTCAGTTATCATATATCCGATGATGTAAGGGACAACAAACTGGCAAAGGCCAGTAATAATAGCTGCTAGGGCAATGTACCCGCTCAAACCGGGCAGATCCACATAAAGCGCGGCGGGACGGATTTAGCACAGCTTCAGTTGCCCCCGCAACAGCGCAGTCGGTTGGACCAGGCATGAGTCAGCGGCCTCAATCCCCTTGGCAGGGGACAGGCGTGTCCTGACCGCGTCCGACGGTCGACCCCCCCCCCCCCCCGAGCCCGGCCGGCTCTTCCGACCGGCCGCAGAGATTCACACCGGCCGACCCGTACAGGTCTCATTTCGGCGTGACCTCGGTGATGCCCGGCCACAAACCGCTCCCCATCCCCCTCGCCCCACACCAGCCGGCCGTCTCCCAAACCCACGCCGCGAGAGCCGGCACGGACTGCCGGCTGTCGACCCGTGACCTGTGGCACGTGACCGCCACCGTCGGGACACGTTACGACGCCGGCCGGCCTCCGCACTGGACACACACCCGCCGGCGAGCGCCCTTCCCGGTCGTAGCGGTCTTCGCTGCAGCGAGCAGCAGTCGCCGGCGGAACCTGGGCCTTCTGCAACGGCCCCCTCTGCTCCTGGACGCGACGTTTCGGTGGGACGCGCCCCGCCGCCGCACCGCGACGCCTTCCCGCGAAACAGCGGGACCCGGAACGGAGTGGAGCACGCGCACGGCCCAGCAGGCCACCTCCCCCGCCGGGGCGCCAGTCGGCCGGCCTATTGCAGGCAGCAGAGCTCGGACGACACGCGCATCTTGCTGGCGGTGGGCGGCCGGGGCAGCGCCGTCTCGGGCCGCGGCTTGGCGATCTGGGCGCGCACCACCGGCGTCACGTGCTCCATGTCGGCCCGGGTGAGGCGCGCGCCCAGCGTCACAGCCGCCAGGTGCTGGAACACCTGGGCCACCTGGCGGCGGCGGGGCCGGTCAGACGCGAGGCCGGGGTCGCCATGGCCGGCTGCGATTACCGCAGCCGGCCGTGGTGCCACGGGCGATACAGCGAGGTCACTTTGATATTGCAAGTCACTTGTGTTGCGGAAAACGTGCGGCCGTTGATCTTGAGACGTGTAACACGCATGTGATGCCACTTTACAGCTGTGCGGATATTACCCGGTGATTTTTGTCAAAAAGACTGCAGGAACAATGGCGCAGGGCCGCGGGAACATCCCCACAAACAGAATTAATCACGCGTCATTTATAAGTCCATCAATCGCTTGAGGATGTGATTTTTGGAAGCCATTTAAATTATCTGGGATATAACCCAGCTGAACTCTTGCTAAGTCCATCGATCGCATGACACAAGCACGGGTTAGAGCCATGCCACTCCGCGCACCTAACGGCTTCACTCAAAAATGCCGGAAAAACGGTGTGAACACGTCCATTAAGCAATCGCCCGCCTAAGCATGTTTTCAGATAAGAATGTCGCTGATAGCCGCCGTGCTGCAATTTTGGCTACACCTAAGCGCTTTTCCTGGCCACTTTTCCCGCCTAGCTCGTGCTGATCAACACGCCAATGGCGTTGCAACAGGCATCGGGCGTGCCGGCCCGTACGCCCCTTGGTCTGCGGGTGCACAGTCATGTTCACATTTAAGCGCGGAGCAGGAGCCGACAGCTATTTACGACCTACGTGTTTGTCCTCTAGAATTGCGAGGGGGAGGGTGCTGCGGCCCGGGATGAACCGCGTCGCTCGCGACCCTCCCAGATCCCAGTTCACGACCTACGATCATGAGCTTAGACAATGGTGGCGTGCTTCGGTTATTTCTGTGTGCCACTGCGCTCCGTCCCCTTTCACAGTAACGAAAGACCGCCTTGACTCGATAAAACGGAAGTCTGACCACGTAACAGTCATGTGTGTATAGATCTCAATCCAAGTTTTGTGAGAAGCGGTGTGCATGCTAAGGGTCACCGCCCTGTGCCCGTTCTCCGTGGGGCAAAAGGCGAGCAGGGCGGACATGCGCCCACGGGTCATCGCCCTGCGCCCGCGCTCCGTGGGGCAAAAGGCGAGCAGGGCGGACATGCGCCCACGGGTCATCGCCCTGCGCCCGTTCTCCGTGGGGCAAAAGGCGAGCAGGGCGGACATGCGCCCACGGGTCATCGCCCTGCGCCCGCGCTCCGTGGAGCTAAAGGCGAGCAGGGCGGACATGCGCCCACGGGTCATCGCCCTGCGCCCGCGCTCCGTGGAGCACAAAGTAAGCAGGGCGGACACGCGCCCACGGCTCATCGCTCTGTGTCCGCGCTCCGCGGAGCACAAGGTGAAGCAGGGTGGACACGCGCCCACGAGTCATCGCCCTGTGCCCGCGCTCCGTGGAGCAAAAGGTGAAGCAGGGTGGACACGCGCGCTCACGTCCACAACCCTGGCTGGCTTCCACGGACAGCGCCGTGACCAAGGCAGACTCACGTGTTCGCCACTCTGCGCAGAGACCAGGAAGGCCAGCATGTCATGCTCGGCCGCGAAGCTCTTGTGCTTGTCGACGCGCACCGCTCGGATGTGCTCCAGGTCGGCTGGAACGCAGCGCCGGGTCGATAAAACGGCTCACGACGGCGGCGGCCGGCCCAGCGGCATCCTCGCCCGCTTCCCGCCCCCCCCCCCCCCCCACACCCACTCCACCCAGCCCCCTCCCTCCGCGCCGCCGGGCCCGCGCCAGCCAGCCGGGCGGCTCCGGCGGCGGCGACACAGAAAAACTGGCACCTTTCCAGGCGCGATAGGCGTGCTCTGACGACGGCGGCTCCGTAACGGCCCCCCGGTTTTGTTGTGCGATGAGTCATGTGCTGGATGTATGTGACGTGACGGCCGACAGCCGGCTCCGGCTCGGCACAGCTGCAGATAGAAAGGAGCACGGAACGGCACCGCGGCATAGTTTTTGCCGGGCTTTTCAGGGGATTTCGTCGCGGGTGCGGCACAGTCGACGGTACGTAGACAATATTGCATTGAACAGGTTGACTTTTCATCTGATCCTGGGGACTGTTACGAGGGAGCGTAGCTTGGCGTCAGGATTGTTAAGACCGATTGTTAATGATGATAATGATCGTTAATGAAATCCGAGTCCCCGGCCGTCATCTAAGTCCACCCTTTTCATGTGACATGAGTCCGGATGCCGAGTTCTAGGGCTTTGGACAAGTTCCTTCACTTTCATGGCACGTGAGTGCGAGTGAATCGAGCCGCAGGAGATCATGTTCGAGCCTGGCAGCCTGGCCCAATCCAACGCAGTCCCAGCCAACCCTACCGGCTACCTGCCCCTCTTCGCGCCCCCCCCCCCCCCCCCGACACACATCATTCCTACCAACCTGATAATGCCTTATCTACGCAGGCGTGTCACTTTTTGTCTCCCCGCCTGAAATCCGGGCGTGAAAATAGCACCCCCATATTAGCATCACTGCACAAACAAAGCTGTCTGTTTCACGAGTATACGTCAAATACTGCTTTGCTTAGGGACAGAGTCCAGGCTTGTATGTACCACGCTCGGATACTGTGTGTGGGGGGGGGGGGGGCGACTGATGCACGCTGCTATAATAAACGACAGACTTGTTTGGGGGAAGTGCGGAACACGCCGTCACCCATCCTCCCATGGCGTGTCAGCGACTAAAACGGTCATAGTATCGTCCAGAGACCACCCCCGCCCTCAGACCGGACGCGAGCACGGGGCACACGCGGAGGTCAGCATCGTTAACCACGGAAACATTTCGGGCCTGAAAGCAATCCAGACGCACACATTCAACGGTCTTGGCCCAGCTTTAACAGAGTTCACCACTGGCCTACGTGCCTAGTAAGAGGTAATGCGAGCCCGATGTAGCTGCAATGAACCGACCACAGACCCTGCAAACCAAAACAATAACAACATCCGCATTCACGAAGAACTTCACCGGCATTCGCGTAAATTACATTCTTGGGGCAATGCCCGATACAAGTTGGGCGTCATTTCCCACACTGTCATGTGCATCAGAAGGACAAACATCCTTGCTCTTTTCACCAGCATCCAACCCTCCAGCATACCGCATGTTAACCATGACGTCACACTGTGTACATTCCAGCGACCGTCCACCGACCACCGACGCTCCACATCGAGGGAGGGTGCAGCGCTCGTCCCGTGCTCCGTTCCCGGACGCCACGGCAGGTCGGTCGCGCACAACTCACCGCGTTCACAACTGGTTTGCCCGCCGTCGACGTCTCAAGGCCGGGGCGCCGCGCCGCCCCGTCGGGGCCGCCACAGACACGGCAGTGACGTCACGGCCGGTGGTCTGGCGGCGGGGCCCGCCCGCCCGCCGCGCCCCGCGCCGGCGGAGAGGCGGGGCAGACGCGGAAACGGAGCGACTCCCGGGCGGAAGCGGCGTGTCCTGTCTTACGTCACGGCCGCCGCCCGGAAGCGTTCACCAGTGCGGTGCTGACTCTGACCAGATTGCTTTGGGGTGCTGCGACTGTTTGACCAATCATGTCAAATCATCGACGGCATGTCTTTAACGTCCGGTCGTCGTGAAAGCGCGGGGAGCTTGTGCAGCTGTGGAGGGCTACGCATTTATCGATTTTGATGGCTACACGACATCGCAGCGATTTTCAAAACAGCTCACAATTACTTGAAGGACGGTATTTTACTGCCCCGAGGTCCCAGAAGCCCAGACGTTGCTGGATGGAGTGGCGTCGATCGATAGTTCGACATGCCGTCGGTCCGGACGTCGGTCTAATAAACCGTCCCGCACCGTGGACGAGACAGGGCCTTGGCCACGCCCCGATGGGTCTAAAAACATCGCGATCGAAGACCAATTTACCCAGAGCCGATTTCATACGAGAAGTATGCAAACTGCCTGGCCTGGGGGCAGTTGCCGGTCACATTAGCCATCTGCAAGGACCGTGATCACAGGACCCCACAAACCTTCCCGTGCCAATGCTTCGCCACAGCAGCTGCTACGCGAGGTCCTCTAATGCTTCCCCACAAAACCGCCCCGGAGCGCCACCGACGGCGCCTGGCCCGCCATGCGAGGGTTCCTTCGCTCTCGCGCCTCGGTCCACTCACATTTGTTGGCGATAAGGATGCGGCGGAGCGGCCGGCTCTGGTGGCGTGTCGCCTCCGTGACCGCCATCAGCCACGTCTCCAGGTTCTCAAACGACGTGTAGTTGCTCACATCGTACACAAACAACGCCAGCTGAAAAGACGTCACACAGGGTCCCGAGTGACATCACACAGGCTAATGTGAGGTGATGACGTCAGCGGTGACCCCTGGAGGACGGCGCGGCTGAGCGATAACAGGCCAAACATACTTCTGCGGGAGACATTTTCGCTGTGTCGCAGATTGCTGATACGGCGAGACACAGGGTACAAGTGGACTGCTAGGCCGCGCATCCTCCACGCAGGCAGCGGCTGAAGACCGCGTACTTTACGAGGCCCCGATTAACCCTAAATCAACGCGATGCAGAGGTTGAATTGTGCAATAATACTGGATAACGGGAACAGCGATACAGTAATGCGTGACGCTTACGACGCAAAACACTTATATTATTGATCTAATGTCACTGCTAACGCAATTCAACATTTTACACACGGTCAGCAGTGTCAAAGACACATGCGAAAGCAGGCAGACTCACGTGGGCGCCGTACAAATATTTGTCGAGCATGCCCCCAGAGAGAGAGGTGCCGCCGACATCCCAGAGCTGCAGGGTCACTGAGCGTTCCTGTGTCAGGCGGATCCGCTTCAGGTAGAACTCCACGCCCGACGTGTACGAGTGTACCGGGCTGAACGTGTCCTGGGTGTACCGGCAGCATAGCGCCGTCTGTAGAGAAAGCCGGCAACTAGGGCTTACAGGAACGGGCACTGGGCGACCATGCATCGTATGGTGGACGCTCCCACGTTGAAAACACGACTGAAGTGCTGGGACGCAGGTTAGCGGTCATCGTAGGGAAAATACGGCCAAAAACTGCAGCGCGAAACGTCCTGACATGTCCCTTTGGCTGACCACTATACAAAGCTCCTGCGTGAACTCAACTACCGTACAAAATTTCGTCCAGTTTAATAATAGGACACCTTTATGAACTCCCAAGGACAACAACAGCAGCCAAGCTGACAACAGCCAAAGACGAATACTGACGATCGTGGAGCTAATAAACAGCACACCACATCCCATTTGCGTTCACTGATGTCTTGCCTGTTCCCATCCATCCTTTCCCACTCAGTTAGTTGCTCGTTGCAACACACGCCGGAATGACCAAAGGGTACACAACGCTTTCCTTGTCGAGATACATGACATGATGGGTCTGGCCCCGCTGCATTTAGCACGGAGTTCAATTTCCTAATCTTCGAGACCCTTTGCTAAGAGCCCACATAATGATAGAAAGAGGACAAAGCCAAACACAGTTCTACCCCGTCTTGTCCTCACAGCTTCCAGCAATGTTAACATTTACCCTAAATAGTGGTAAATAGAACACCTCTTCTTGTCCCTCCAGGTGGACTACGTGTCCCGAGCCCGTGTTTTGTTCCCTTGATGACCAGTCAAAGAACACCAGTTCAGATTTCTCATATGTTATAAGTACAGGTGTCAACTTGATCCTTTCTGTAGATTTACAATTTTTCAATGGCTCAGAGAATGATGTAGGAAAGATCTAACCATGATCTTCTTTTGCAGAAAGGCTGATGGTACAGTTACCATATTGGCATGTTCCTTTCACAACAACCTCATTGTAAAATCATTGCAGGTGCTAATTTCAATATACACATAAACATAAGCATGCAGGTGTTTATGGTATATGTATATAAACATATGAATTGTGCACTGTGTAGCCCCTATACCACCGCAACTGCATGCTACGAAACATGGTGCATGGATGCCACATTATCAATAGCCATGCAAATCTCACAATGTGTTCAGTGAGATTTGGATTAGAAGATAATCCTGTAATCTAATACAGTGACATGGCATCAGTGACATGCATGGCAAGCTTCCAAGCCTTTCATTTGTGTGTCATGTGTGATGAATTTAACAGCATGTCACATGCTGCGGGCTGCTGTGCATTAATGTCAGCCCAGTTTGCTGTGCACATCTCATTTCAAATGGGTGTTTCTTAATGGCATGAGATAAAAGAACAAGTGCCAGCTATACAAAGTTACAGAAGAAATTTTCAGACAATTACTTTTCCAGAGCCTGAGTCTCCAACAAGAACAATTTTCAGCTGCCCCTCTGATATGCCACCTTCCTCTTCTTGGCTTTCCATCATCTGAGAAAAAGGAAGCATTGAAGAAAGATACTGAACACATCCTCAGTCTACAACCAGTGATTTTAAGTGAGTTCCATGAGGCCTAGCAATCAGCTAGCCCGCATGACAAACTTTCTGGTCAAATCTGTCCTTTGGTCAGGGTTAAATAATGCAGTAGTGCACTTAAAACTGGATTTCTTAATGGTAACATCATAGAAGAGTCTCTTATATAGTGTACATAGACATAAGACTATCAAAGCAAAAAATGCAGCACATCACACTTGTCACCTGTGGTTGAGGAGGATGATAGTGGGGAAGACCAAGGTGATGTGATTAACAACATTAGGGCATGTTTCAAAGCACAACCTGCCTGAGCAAATCAATAACAGCTTGCTAAGGCCATGAGCTGATCCAACTTTGATAATCAGCAAGGCTTCCTGCCTAGTGGGCTCAACATCATAAATCAAGAGTCCTGTGTCATCACCTCCAGTATGCACCCAGCAAGCAGGGATCAACCTGGGAATAGCATGCTTGACAAGCCCAATCAGCCTGAAAAACTTGCTCCTTTAATATGTAGGCATTGCAACAGCATATTGAAAATACCTCCTTCAAACAGGCAAAAGGGTGTTGTGAGTGGGGTGTGGTATGCAAATGAATAGTCATACAAGTCCCTTAGGACATTATTAGCTGCTAAGTTCACAATGCCTCTACCTTGAAAATCCAAAGCAAATGGCTAGCTTTGATCTGTTGGGATGGTCATAAAGCACAGGTGCTGTGCTGTCAAGAGTTAGGACCTGAGGTGCCCAGTTGGTATCACAATCATCATGTGTGCAAGATAAGATGGTGCAATGTTCCTGTTCTGATATTCAAGTGTTTTCTGCTCAACAGAGCTCAATGATACACAATATGTTGGTGCATAGCAAGGAAAAATATTTAGCAAGGCCCCAGTACATACTGAATAAGCAACACCCCACAGCATTGGTTATATCTCAGTACTCCACGCACGATGTGTCCTTATATGACATGGCAGGTTAAAAACAATCAAGCTTTCACCCACGAAGCAGGTGCATTACCAGGCTTTTGCCAACAGAATCTTTGACACGCCTGCAACCGATGTTCACTCTACCCCCTCAACTAGAGCACACTCCATCAGAAGCTTATCATCCCATCATACCCACTAATACCAGAGCAGATAATCGATCTGCTTATTATGACTACAATTATTACCGATTATGACCTCGGCAACCCCCAGGGCCTTGTTCTAGGGCCTTGGGCAACCCCACGGCGATACCACGGTCTTCGACTGATCATTTCAGTTTGGGCATGTAAAGTGACTTGCCAAAGCATTTGCATCAAGGGCGCCACACATGTAACATGGTCTGCCCCTTGTTATTTTCAAGTCAGCTCTGTTGTTGAGGTTAGTATTTGCTGATTCAATTGGTGAATATTTGCTTGCATTGCTAAATAGCAGCAAGGAAAGCTTTAGCGTGATCATTGCGCAAGTTGCATTCCAATTGGCCTAAGGACCGAGACGGTGCGCTGATTGCTCGGTCTGCTGGACGTGAGCATAATACAATGCCGTGTTCCCGCTCACAATGATCACCGTAGCTGTGTGAGTTCGGTGATTGGTCATCGGTGCCTCATTTGGACAGCTGCGGGCAGGGAAACGAAAGCAAAGAAATATTTAAAAGAAAGGGAATGCATGCGAGCACACGTCAAATCCGCCGCTGTAGCCCCGTGTTATTTACACGGTGGAAGGGGTTACGTAAAGCGTCCTGGCAGGTCGGCTCCTTTCTTGCAGTGTGGATTCCCCACGTTCGCGAAGGGTCTGGAGCAAGGCCTGAAAGAAAAATACGGCATAGCACTACTATTGCACCTTCTTGTGAGTATTTTGTGTTTTTTATAGTTCTGCAGTGTCTGTGAGCCAGTCTGGGAACCACTGTGGCATAGCATCACGCCGGACGCTTCAGTGGCGAGGCCACGCCAAACAAACTGGTGCATGTGTGCGATGAACTTGGCTCAGACCAATTTGTGCTTAATCTTACATTATTTTGGTAGATTCCTAAGTGTGTCACTGGACTACATGAACATATTGTACATGAATCATGCTTAGAGCAGAACACAATGTTCATCTTGCAGAACCAGCAGAATTTTATCATTTTGTCTGGTAAATATAACAATTGTGGTTGCAACTAGCTATATAGATATTGCAGCACCTTAATAGCCTTTATAATATTGGTAAATAATTGGATGTGATCAATAAAGCAAAATTGGTGTAGTAAATAGCATTTTCCACCATACATGCTTTTTTGACACCATTAACATTGAACATTCTCTATACATGTTTAGATTGGTTTTGGTATGCTTGAGGCATTCCAAGGGATAAATGCTTTAAACATCAGGTTTCAGGCAATAGGGATCAGCAGACCTGGTCCATATCAATATCTGGTGACTCATGTTGATATATTGGATTCATGTATCACAAGTTTTGTTGTTAGTGAACTTAACTTCTTAAATGTCATCCATGCTATGGCATTTACCATACAACTTATCACATGTGTGATGCACTCCATGACTTATCTTATGACATGCATTTATCTGCAAATCATTATTTCATGTATTATCAATAGGCCAATGGCTATTAATAATTTTATATCACCATCAATGGCTATTAATAATTGTATATCATAGGACATCAGCTTGTGCAGGGCATTCCAGACTGGTTATAAAAAATATTCCAAGAAGTTTTTATCAATGTTGTTCAGATATATAATATAATGATGTGCATGGTTACTCAGGTGAGTACAGGGTACTAGCCCAGCTTTAGTCATCAGGTGGTCATCAAAGTGCCCATGTGCAATCAATTTCAGGTGATTGCTATTGACAACAGCATAGTGATCTGCAGTTGATTCCAGCATGCAGGTCAAGTTTCCATATCAGTTAGGTGGTGATGATTGCTCAGTGGCTTACAGACTGTGTATTTTCAAGTGCCACACAACTGGCACACCGGTGTAGGTGTACTTTCCGTACCTGACGTTACAAAAAAATCATTGCACACCATTCGTCATGTTTAAGGCGGCTCATATCGTAAATAATCTCAAAACAGGTAGAATCATGCTCCTACCTTCGAAATTCAATAACTTCGATGGCGGGCGGCTCCCGAGCCCCGCGCGCACCGCACCGCCTGGACTCCCCAGCGCCGTTTCTGCGTTGCTGTTGCGTAAATACAATATTTCTGCTTACCAAGAACTCTACAAAATGTACGGGACCAAGGCAAACCATTCGTCGTGTTTAAGGCGGAACATATCGTGAATAATTTCAAAACAGATAGAATCATGCTCCTACCCTCGAATTTTAATAAATACGATAGCGAGCTCCCGAGCGCCGCACGCACCGCACCGCACCGCCTCGACTCCCAAGCGCCGTTTCTGCGTTGTTGCGAAAGCACAATATTTCTGCTTATCAAGAACCATAAAACAGGGACCAAGGTAACAATAATAAAGCAACCAAAATCGTTTCTTATCGAGTTTAGGTACATTTATGAAACACACAGGCCAGAATAGTCCAGAACATATCCTAAAGTAGCCTAACCTAACCTAACCTAACCTAACCTAGCCTAACCTAACCTAACCTAACCTAACCTAACCTAACCTAACCTAACCTAACCCAACCTTACCTAACCTAACCTAACCTAACCTAACCTAACCTAACCTAACCTAACCTTACCTAACCTTACCTAACCTAACCTAACCTAACCTAACCTAACTAAGAATAGACCAGAACCTAAGCTAAGCTAAGCTAAGCTAGCCTGACCTAACCTAACCTAACCTAACCTAACCAAACCTAGCCTAACCCAACCTAACCTAACTTAACCTAACCTAACCTAGCCTAACCTAACCTGAGAATAGACCAGAACCTAAGCTTAGCTAAGCTAAGCTAAGCTAACCTAACCTAACTAACCTAACCTAACCTAACCTAACCTAACCTAACCTAACCTAACCTAACCTAACCTAACCTAACCTAACCTCCCCACCCTATATCCCCTTCAACCCAGCATCCCATTGGCGTCCATGTTCCATGCCATATATAGGTGCCATATAGTGAGCTTTTATTTAGCTGTCATGTTCTCATTTTGCTTTACATTCCCCACCCAATCCCCTGCAACCCATGGTCCCGTTGGCGTCGAGGATCAAATTTCATGGATTCTTTTTACCTTGGCCCGGTACATTTTTGTGGTTCTTGATGCTGCTTGATGCGCAGTAATGTTGTGACCCGCGCAGTAATGGCGCCGGTGTCGCGGGTGTTGTGTGTGTGTGCGGCGCTCGGGAGCTCGCCATCGTAATTATAAAAAAATTGAAGGTAAGATCATGAATCTGCCTGTTTTGTGATTATTTACGATATGTCCTGCCTTAAACACGACGCATGGTTTACTTTGGTCCCGTACATTTTGTAGAGTTCTTGGTAAGCAGAAATATTGTATTTACGCAACGGCAACGCAGAAACGGCGCTGGGGAGTCCAGGCGGTGCGGTGCGCGCGGCGCTCGGGGGCCCGCCATCGAAGTTATTGAAATTCGAAGGTAGGAGCATGATTCTACCTGTTTTGAGATTATTTACGATATGTCCTGCCTTAAACACGACGAATGGTGTACAATGATTTTTTCTAACGTTAGGTAGGAAAGTACACCCTGACCGGCACACCCTCTAAATGTAACCTGGTTTCCTGATTCCAATGTCAGCTGTTATTAAACAAAGTCATGTGGGTGTGTGGCTTCCTCTAATATAACGTGCATAACTGTCTGGCATACTTCCATGCTGATGTTGGGAACACTGGATGCCCTGCCCTCTGGGTCATCAAAGGTGTGTCTGGTGTCACCATTTGGGACCACCAAAATAGGGGCCATGTTTGGTTTGCTTGTAGTTGCTGACATTTCCATTTCTGATCAAAGGATAGGGTATGTTTATGTTCATGATGTTATATGGAAAAGTCACCCCTGGGCTAGACATGGATATGCAGTGCATGTTCATTATGGAGCTGTTAGAGAATTGCTAGATTTGTCAGCAATAAGGCTGCCAGAATTGCTGTTAGAGGACATTCATCTTGCTGAAAATGGTTGAAGCACTCGCATGGTGTTTTGTCATACATCTTTCTCTTTTTTAATGTGTAGCAGATACTAGCTACAGACTCTTCCCTTGTTCTCCTGGGAATAAACATATGCTATACTGAAGTTATATTTGCCTGTAATTCTTATGTATAAATCTCAAATGAGATCGTGGGTTTTCTGAGGCACCACTCGCAGGCAGATGAAGTGCTCGCGCCCCACGGTGATTGTCATTTGTTTTCCATTCATTAATTTTTACTTCTTTTGTTGTTTCATTCTCTCCCCATTTGTGAAGTGTGAAATGTTTCAGTTGTGAGTCATTGGTGCGATTTGAAAAGTTGCCTGGTCATTTAATATGTTCCATGTGTGAGGTAAATAAGAAAAAAAGTTTTGTGATGGTCTGGCCCCTTTAAAGAGCACTTGCTTCAGTGCTGTTGATTTTTGAAGGGGACGGGGAGCCGCATGGTCAAGCTGTTGGTCAGCTCCCAAGCACAGATGTTCATGATCACGTATCAAAACAACCTCAAAATCAGGGGGTGATCTAAAATGTGACTTGCTGTGATCAGAAACTGATCGGACGGCTACGCTGTTGTGCCTTGGATCACCTTATCAGTGCCCAATTCATACCTTCGTCACTTGTGTCATGGAGGGGCGGCAGCCGACCCCTTGTCATCAAGGGGGGGAGGGGGGCAACAGGGTTGACGGGGGGGGCCTGCTGACAGTGAAAGGGGCCTATTGCTCCGGCCTATTGTATTGTATATGTGTATGTATATGTATATATATATATATATATATATAACATTTTCCTTTTATAATGGATATAGCCAGACGCTATAGATCAATCGCTTAAGTTGTGAAATACTAAACTATAAACTAGATCAGGTAAGTGACTGCATGAAAAAAAAATCGCCGGCACTCTTCGTTTTACAATGGTCCAGTGAATTTTTTTAACCCGATAGAACTCAGAAACTTTGTCAGAATTTGTATCTGGGTTGTACAGAAAAAGCAAGGATTCCGCGAATGTAGATTGAAGACCAAAATGGGACAACAGTTTGTAATAACATGCCACGGCATGTTTGTCTGGATATCTTCGACATTCAACCAGAATTGATTAGTGGTACAAATTATGGAACATAGTTCTGAGCATGCGCGCTCGCATATTCGAAACGAAAAACTCGAAGTCAGGCGTTGCAGTCTCCCAAGGTTGCGCAGCGTCGGTTTCCCAGACGCGCAGTGATAAGCGCAGGCGCGTGAGCCACTGCACTGTCGGCTCCCGGCGCGCAGGTTCAAACATTTTTATGGCATTTGTTTCACTAGTCAATTCTGCAAAGTAATGAATGTTTTCGGGAAGGCATGGAATGGCCTATGGAATGGTGCGTTTTGAAGCCATTTCGACCTTATCCATTCAGCACTAATGAGACTTCTTATTTCTTTCCGGTAAAGGGACCCCCTGAGTACAGCACTACGTGCTACATCGTTGTACCCGGTCAAGAGCTGAATGGCCATTCTGTCCCACCGCGGTGTGTTTTCCGGCCGTCATTCTGGCGACACGGTGCGGCATCCCCTGGCCAATCCAGAGGCCCTTAGAGGGATACGTCATGTCACATTGGTCTGCTCCCTGACGCGGGAGGCCTTCTGACCTGCGTAGTTGACCGCGAATCGGCGCATGAACCGTTTTTAGCGCGACAACATCCCTGCGCACCGCAGGTGGTCAAATACTCCACACATAGACTCCGGGCCCACCGTTCGGTAGTGGGACTCTGACTGGCACAGGACTCTTCGA